AGGAGGAGGAGCTGGAGATCTCATTGCTGAGAAGGGCTACAGTTTACTTTGGAGGAGGTCTAGTCCTCATCTTGAACGTTACTTCCTGGTTCTGGAGGCAAAGATGGTATACAGCTCAGTCTACTGGAGAAGCTTGTTGCATTGGCTTTCCTGATGGGAACTCAGCTTTCCCATCACTGGAGGAGCTTGGGACCTCATTGTTGCTGAAGATGACTGGGAGCTCTAGTGCTTACCTTGAGCATTGCTTCTTGGGTCCAGTTTACATCCTTCAGCCTGCTAGCCCAGATCCTTCATACCACTGGCACAGACTTTCTAGTTTCCACCACTGACCTTTGGGCCTTCCCAGTGTATATCCATGAAGTGGGCCTGCATGAGACATTATCATGGACTCTAGGCCTCCAGATGGTCTTGTGGGAGGCATTTTGAGGAGCTCTAGGTTTTCAGCTGGACTCATGCAGGATTATTAGTATCCAGGCTCTTTGCTTGACTCTTTGATCTTTAGGGTGTTAGACAGATTTCTTACATTCCATGTATATGATTCTTTGGGTAATTCATTATAAAATAATCTTATAAAATGTGTCCTGCATTGTACTGTTGTTCCCCTTGAAAAACCCAATCATGACAACTACACACCAAGACCCTGTTTCAAACAAAACAAACTGACAAATTTTCCTCAGTGGAAAAACAACAAAACAAAACTCAACCCTAAATACACCAGTAAGATAACACAAAGAAAAATATTTTGTTTCTGCTAGGTAGAAGGAGACCGCTGTTACCCAGAAGAAATCAATAGCCAGATCATAGGGAACACCTTCCCATTTTATTTAAGGTAAATGTAGCTTTGGAACATTAAACCCAGGTTTAGTTCTACCTAGTGCTATGCCCAAGACATATGGCAGGTCAGATCATCATTTCTATAAGTAGAAAAGTTCGGATCACATAATATGCAAGCTTGAAATTCTGTAAAATGAAATCCTGGTTGATATACATGGGGAATGCTTTTCCTCAAGGTTGAAACCCTCTTTATTTCCCATTAAACATATTAAAATATAAAGACTCAAAAGCATCAAAAAAAATCACACCAATTAACAATTATACTGAATTATTGAAATGATTTAAGTAGTGGAAAGTATGTCAAATCGGTGATGCTTCTCATAGTATAGAACACACATAGATACAGTTTTCATTTTATACAATGTTACTTTTCAGCCCCCAAGAATCCAGAACTACTGCATTTTGATCCACTCAGGAATATGACCTAGAATAGTTGCAAGAAACAGGAAAGAGTGCAAGGTTTTATGTGTGTGGAAAAAGGATGGCTGCATTTAATTACTGCATGACACACTTACATGAATATATCATCCTAACCCTTTTAGTTGTACAATTAATAAATATTGGTAAATTTTTTTAATAATTTTAAAATTTTTGGTGCATAATTGGTGTATGGTTGTCATACTCAGACGAGATTGGGCGTGTTTAGGGTGGTATGGCCATAGACTAGTTGTCATACTCAGAGGGAGAGAGGAAGACAAGAAGGGAAGAGAAAAGAGGAGAAGAGAAGAGACAAACAGGAAAGGCCACCACAAAACACCTATATAAGATATGTAAAACAAATTTTTTAAAAATGTATTTACTACAGGGTCTATAGGGTCTCACCACATAGATCAGACTTGTAATGATTCTCCTGTTTTCAGTCTCCCAAGCGCTGGGATTACAGGTGCGTGCCACCACACCCAGTCTCAATTGCGCGAGGGGCAGGACTAGCACAGCCCGCTGGGGATTGAACCCTGGCTACTGTGCTCTGCCTAAGCAGGCGCTTTTAGTCCACTGAGCCATCTGGCTCAGCCTAAACCAAACCAAATTATGATATATATTAATTTTTACAAATAAGAATGTAGCCATTCAGGGAGATATATTTTAAGACTGAAGGTAACTTTAATTTTCATTGCAAATTTCTGTGGCATATAAAAGAAATTCTGTAGGAAAATGAAAGGATCAAGACTGTATCTGTGAGCCCGAAGTGGTGGCACAGGCCTATAATCTCAGCAGTTGGAAAGCTGAGGCAAGAGAACTGCCATGAATTTCAAGCTACACTGGATTACATAGTGAGACCCTGTCTCAAAGAGCCAACCCCTTCCACAAACAACCCAATCAACACCAACAAAAAGAGAATACCACCACCAACAAAAAAGAATACATCTGTGGTTTGTTTTGTTTTTTTCATCTATGGCTGTATAATTTAAAAAATGCTTAAATTGCATGGGTTCATGAGGTTTATTTACTATGGGTTCTGAAGACATTAACATAAAGGGAAATTATAGAGCTGGGAATGGCAGCACACACCTTTAATCTGCTAACCTGGAAGACTGAGAAAGGACTGTAGATAGTTCAAGGTCAACCTGGGATAATTAGTCCAAAAGTCATCTGAACTACATAGTAAGATTCTTATAAAACAAACAAACAAAAAATAGGATGATGATGACAGAATTACTAATCTCTTTTTTGTATACTTACCAGTTCAAAATAAGACAAAACATGACATGGCACTAGAAAAAAGTTAAGACACTTAACCTCCCATGTAACCCTGAGCACTATATTGAGATATCAATGCACATATGGGATAAACTGTTCAAATGGAGACTGCTTTTAAAAAATGAAGAGAAAGAGCCAGGGCTGTAGCTTAGTGGAACAAGGCCTGCCTCCAAGTGTTAGGTCCTGAATTCAATTCCCAGCACCGAAAGAAACTTTCAGAACAAAAACAAAATCAAAAATGATTAGGAATATGATTTTGGTACCATCTTGTTTCACAAATATTTCACTTCTGAGATACCATTTTACTTATATTCCCTGTGATTTTTCTATTATCTGTTTTATGTTTTAAAAAACATTTATTTTTATTAGCTTCTCTGTATTTTACAAGTACCACATCATTAGGTACTTGTAAAATACAGAAGGAATGAAATTATTGTTTTCTTTGGAAAACATTGATTTGGAGTAACACCCAAATCATGGTTACTTTTGAAAGGATCACTCACAAGCTGTAGGTCATCGCTTCACTAAGGAAGAAAGTTCTTACAACAGACACTGTACTATGAATGCTGATGCCAATGGAAACCAGTGTGTTGAGAAAACATGTGACTTAGAAAGACTGATAGTTTTTCCCTGTCCCCACTACTCTGCACTGTTTGATTTTCTGCTATAGCTCAATATGCTGAATTAGAAGGCATTCTAGAGTTCAAAGGTACCAAACATTGCCATGGACAATGATTTTTTAAAAAGTCCTCAAGAACTGAGCTACTTAAGAAAGCACACTGCATCTTAAATGCAGGAATGAGTCTTTTGACTTTCCAAGTTTCCCTTCTACTACACAGGTAAAAATAAATATATATGAGGATATTAGTGAACAAAACTAGTATGTGTCTAATATCAATCTTGGGGAATACACCCACTTGCAGTGTATCTTGCCAAATATTTAAAACACAAATTATACAACGAAGGAGAATACTGAAGAAGACAAGTTGGGGTGACTTCTTACAAACCCAAATTCCAGTGTTACTAGGGTCAAACGATTCAAGAATCAGTTGGTAAACTTCAGATAATTTTTGGGTAATCTTACTAAAATTTCTAAATTAAAATGCAATGATCAACACTGGATCCCCAGCACCTCATGCCATGCCAGCCCCGCCCCAAGGGTGGGCTGAGCCGGCCAGAGTCCGGGCATGGTGGCCCATGCCGGTAATCCCAGCACTGGGCAGGCTGAAAGCAAGAAGATTACCATGAGTCCGAGCTGCAGAGTGAGACCCTCCAACAACCAAATACAATTTAAAAAATCAAACAAAACACAATGGTCAGTTATTAATATCCTAGGTCAGATGCACCAATGGTACATGTGCCACAAAGGAAAGTTTGTATCATTGAAAGCTCTTTGGTCATCACTGTCCTAGGTGATGTTACACTAAAAGTGTTTTAACTGGGAATATGAAACAATTCAAAATATCAATAATCTTATAAAAAGAAAAATGAAGTGTTTAAAAGAAAAATTGCAGGACTTAAGTCAGTTAAGCTCAGAGGCTTACATGCCTGCCTGGCAAGTGCAAGTTCTTGAGTTCAATCCCGGTTACCAAAATAAAAAATAAACACTGGGAAAATTTGTGACTTAATTAAGTGGACATATTTATTTGTCACCAAAGTTATAAACTTTTAGCTAGGTGTGGTGATACACACCTGTCATTCCAACATTCTGGGAGAACAAGTCAAGAAAATCACAAGTTTGAACCTATAGTAGTTTGAACAATTTAGTAACTTTGTGAAACCCTGTCTCAAAATAAAAAGTAAAAATCAGGCTACGAATGTAGCTCAGTGCCAATGTCCTGGGTTCAATCCCTACCATGGCAAATAAAATACATTAAAAATCTTTGTTATACTGATTATGTTCCTAACTCTAAGATTTTTTTTAAAAAGAGGTCTTACATAGAGGAGTTCCTTTAAATTATAGAAAGAATGAGTTTTTAAAATTTGAGAAGGGCATGGTGGTGCATGCTTGTAACTCCGGCACATGGGAAGCCAAGGTAGCCACCCTTGACTATAATGTGAAATCTTGTCTCAAAAAAACAAAAACAAAAAAATTGAGAAGACAGGATTAGGGACTATAGATCATACTGGCTTAGGTTAGTTTTCAGCCCCAAAGAAATAAAATTAACCACTGAGGAAATAATTCATATAAATGAAGTATAAACAAAAACAACCCAACACATACAGAGACATATACCTTGGAGGCATTTAGTATATTTGGAAATTCTCATTTGCATTTTTAGACAATGGAGTAACTCTTTTTTTGCAGGCTGTACTAAAACACAAACACACCACTGAAGAAACCAGACTAGGAATTTCAGCATTCATTCGATGTTTCTGGAAGTCAAGGAAAGTAGCCAATTAAAAATAACTCAAATACTGTCTCTTCTTCAGCAAGCATAGGATTATTAATGGCAGAATAAGCTTACCTGGAACAGGACTCTTTCTTGAATTTAAATTCTGAGAATCCATAATCTCTTCTGTTTGCCCATCTGCTTCTACCTCAGTTTTGTTTTGAATCTCTTTTGCATCTTCAATAAGGCAAGTTCTTATGCTCTCTTCCTCTTCTAAGACTCTCTGGACTACAGTGGGAGCACTCAGAATATTAGCAGTAGTGGTGGTAACAACAATGACTGAAGTGGGAGGAGAAGCTAGAGGAGTTGGAGGAGCTGGAGAAAAGGAAGAAACTGTGGAAGGGGTGATGGGAAGTGGAATATGCTCCACTTTCATTTCTTCTGGAGGATTTTCCAGAATTTCCAATTCAAGAGTCAGTGGCAACACCTCATGCTTTACCATTTCCACAATGCTTTCCGTGGTTGGAGATTTTTCACTAACTCCATTCATTTCATTAACTAGGTTAGTACTAGTAATCAGTGGAATATCATTAGGTGCTACACTACAAGGTTTCTTGCATATATCGTCGTCAATTTCAACTGTTGTTGAAGGGTTTGATGTTTCTGCGCAAGATGTAGGGTTGAGTATAGGAACTGTATCTTCTTTTGAGGAAGAGAGTTCAAGTCTGTCACCTACAGCAGCAGTGAATACTGGTTGACTAAGAGTAGCAGAGGTGGGGGAAGCAACCGTACTTCCAGCAACTGGAGAAACAGTGGTAGGTGATGGAGGCAGAGGAAGCTCTGGTATGGATTCTACGGTAGTAGTCTCAGAGGTCTGGCCTATTTGTTCCTTCTTCTCCCCACTAAAGACTAGCCTAAGGACTGGGGAAGGAGACTTTAACACTGGATCTGGTTTTGGCTTCTCTTCTGGGGAAGAAAAAAGAAGAGAGTTTTACGAATAATTCTTAGACCAAACACTATATTATATTGCCTTAGGGCAGTTTTTTAAAATCTCTTAGCCTACAAAATGGGCAGTAGAAAAGAAAACAAAATACTTACTAGATCTTACTGCAGGAACAGTCTCATATATGCATTTTCTACTTATAACATTATTGGCCTCTAATAAAAGTACACATAAAAGTTTATTTTCTGTAAGTACTGCACACTAACCGATTATGCCACTGGAGCTCCTAAAAGTTTATTTTGGAGTAAGAGAAGGAATCAACTCACCAAATGACTGTATTACGACAGAAACAAATAATTCACCAAATCTAGAGCTAAGCCATTCTTTAGGATTATCACTACTGTATTTGTTCCCTGTGGTAAATTTTTCCTACCAGGGATACACTAGTCTATGTATTTCAGTACTTGGGGGCAATTTTTGTTTATAAAAAATGTATGACATAAAAAAAAAACTTTTAAGAGAAGTCATAATGTTTGTTATTAATGAAATTTATTAGTGAAACTGATTTCTTCAAGACAAAAAGTAGTTTCAAAATTAGTTTATATCCTCAAAAGTTATATATTCAGAAAAAGGGTACAAAAACAGAAATTTTATGTCTTCATACATGAAGTAATTATTCAAGATGAAGCCAAAGTTAGCATTCTGATAGATAAATACAGTAAAAAAAAGAATACCTAATATGTATGTCTGAGATATTTTGGAATATATAAAATATATATTTGTATATAAAGAATAAGATCAGGAGTAAAAGAGGGAAATTGTAACAATATTAAGGGTACTGGAAAACGAAATGTTAATTAAGAAAGCTACATCATTTTAAAATTCTAGGTAAATTGATAAGCGATTCAATTCTGAGAGAATGAAACCAAAGGAAATTTAGACTGCTACCAGCTTGGTGATTTCTTAGCATAAGAAGGTCCACTGGAAAAGATACTTAAATGAGGATGTTTACAATTGCCAACAAAAATTGCTGGCACTCTGAATGACTTTCTAAACTGAGACTCTCCTAATAGGAAACATTCTTTATGTATCAGGGAAATTCAATAATTTATTTACAGTAAATTATTGTTAAATAAATCTGTTAAACAGAGTATGTTCTGTTAACCAAATAAAGATGGTAAATATTATCATAAGCTTTTAAAGATTATAGTTTGTTCACTTGTACTATATTTATTAGCCTTTTAATTAAGTTTCACTGATGGTAAGAGATGAGATGGCTTGTAAAACTGGGCTGTCTATTGTACTGTTAGTAATATCAATAGGCTCTCTTTGTGGAATCTCCCAGACTAAGGTGCCAGGGTAAGAGACAAAAATATATCATTCGTGTGTGTGTGTGTGTGTGTGTGTGTGTGTGTGTGTGTGTGTGTTTCTATGTGAAGCATATTTATAAATAAATATGTACTTATTAAAATATATCTAATGAAAAAAATAAATAAAATAAAATATATCTAATGACAATAATTTCCAAATCACTGGAATTACTTTTATACAAGTCACTGTTAAAATAAAGCAAAATAATACCATTTAAGAACATTGAGTGGAATCTAAATATAGTAAATTTAAAACTAAACTAAAAATAATAATTCTCATATTAACAATTTAGTAAGACTATAACCATTCAATAATTAATTTTGGGAAACAAAATCTCATTAAATAATACAAAAGATCTAAGGGTTAAGGGCTGGGGATTTAGCTCAGTGACACAGCACCTGCCTCGCAGGCATGAGGTCCTGAGTTTGATCCCCAGAACCAAATTGGAGTGGGTGTCTACGAGTGACCAAATTTCCATATACTTTTCAGAAAAAATCGTAGTAAAAAATTAGAAACAAATTTATTTGAGTTTCTCATTCTAAAGTATTTTAACATTTTTTTCAAAAGCTTTGAACACATAAAACAGAAAAGTTCAACATAATAGATCTAAATAAAAAAATTATTCTACACCTTAAATGAATTGTTTATTTTTTGAATTGTTAAGACTTCGAAATTTAGGAAATTTTCAGGACTCCCTGCATAAGAATTTTTCAGAAGGAATAATCATTTATTGAAGACAGATGTCTAGAATACTTAAGGCAATCTTATAATGGGGATGGGGGAAGGAATAAACGCAATGTCCAAACAAGAGATTTATTAAATAAGTGATAGCCTAGCCATACTGTTCGATATTTAATATAGGGTTTTAAAAGTGTTTAGTCAGAAAAATCGTTAATAGGGGCTGGTGAGATGGCTCAGTGGTCTAAAGCACCTACTTAGAACAAGCTTAGCAAAGCACAGGGACCACGGTTCAATCCCCCAGCACCACATGCCAGCCAGCCCCGCCCTGGTGGGCTGAGCTGGACATACACACAAAGAAAGAAAGAAAAGAAAAGAAAAGAAAAAAAAGAAAAGAAAAGAAAAGAAAAGAAAAGAAAAGAGAAAAGAAAAGAAAAGAAAGATTGTTAATAAAGGATATAGTTTTTCTTCTAAGTATGGCTCAAAACTGTAGAGCTGTGAACCCAGTTTGGTGGTAATATGTGTCATATTTACAAAAAGGATAAAATTTCTCCCTTTTATTCTCAGATGGTGGTAAAACCAATGGCTTACATGAGTGCCTTTCAGTACTACAAATCTTACAATTAGTGAGAAGATGCTACTATCAATTAACACAGTCCCAGAGACCAGAAACTGAACATCCTAGAAACTGAGGGAGAGTCTCATCTAGAAAAGAATATCCTAACTGCAAACAGAAACTGGTTCAACAAAATTTATTCACTGAATACTTAATACCAGGTGCTTTCAACAAGTACTAAGCTTCCAACTAAGATTTTAACCTCACTTATTCATTTATATTATCTATACTGTATTTTCAAGACACAAAATTGAATGTACTTTCTCACTTAGTAAACAGCAATAATTTCAGCTGCATCTGTTCACCATTAATACAAAGAAGAGATTTCCCCCCTGACCCCGGAACTGGGGATTGAACTCAGGTTCATGCGCTTGCCAGGCAAGCTCTTATTCTACTGAACCATTTCCCTGGCCCCAAAGAAGAGATGTTAATTCATAAAAGTTTTTTTACACACCATCATAAAGCATTTATACCCTTGTGTTGATAAACTCAGCAGTCAGCAAATGCATACTCATCTGGAACCTTTGCTTTCCTGTAACCATTCCATTTGTTTATGTCACAAACTGAGGAACTAGAAGATTAATAATGACAACTAATATTTATAAAGCATTTATATGCTAGGAACTGAGTTCAATACCTATATACTTTATTCTCTTTAATTCTTACAAACATCACTGGGTCAAAAACTGTAAGGTTTCTATTTTACAGGTTAGGAAACTGAAGGCTGTAGAGATCAGTCACAGATCCAAAGTAATATAACTAGCAATGTACAAGCCTAAGAATGATTCTGAGCCCCACATTCTTTCATGAAAATAAAAGTATTCATGTGAATCAGCTGGAAGGAGATTTTGGAGCTGCTATTAAATTCTGCTGCCTAATACAAATCTTCAGTAATGATAATTCCATTGAGAAAGAAAAAAATTGACAGCATAAATCACTGAAAAGAGTAAACGCACCACCTATCCCTCTTCAATTTCACAGTACTTTTTTTCATAATTAACAGACAAATAGCAATCAGACAGTTTCAAATCAAATTGGTAGGACAGTTTCAATAATTAACACACTGCATACTTCACAGTATTTTTAAAGAAATTTTTAAAAAATTATACAGAAAGTACATTCTCTAAAAAATTAACCCTTCCTAATAAGGAACACTAAATTTTATTGAGTTTTAAATCCTACTATGAGGCTGAAAACAGGAGGATCACTACAAGTCCGAGCTGCATAGTGAGACCCTATAGCAAATGCATTAAAAAAAAAAAAAAAAAAGTACTATTATGAGGGCTGGGAGTGTGTATCCCAGTGGTATATAGTCTTTGCCTAGCATGTCTAGGGCTCTGGGATCCATTCCCAGCTCCAGATGAAAGGATGGACTACTGTGAAAACTATTTTACATACTGGCAGGCTACCCACAGAATTACAGAACAGTTACTCAGTTTCTGATGAGTATTTTGTACTACACGGAAGTTGAGTAGCTCCAAAGGATTACCCACACAAAAGGCTCTAAAATCTGTACTTAAAACACTAGTTTTTCAAGTGACCTAAAACATTTTTCTGTTCTCCCCTATCTAAGCAATGTATTTGTGTGCAATGTAGATTTTTGTTATCAAAATTTCCACTAACCAAAAACAAAAGTACTGAGAGAATCTAAAAGTTTTCCATTTTCTCTTTTGGTAGTCTAGACTTAAATATGACAAAGTGAGGATCTTGTAAGTATAAATCATGGCCTTGTTTTCCATAAAACAATTATAAAAGACAATACTATCATTAGCCCTATCAGAGCTATCACCATCAGAGTATATATCATGGCCTTTAAAAAAAAAAAGTCTTAGCATAATTTAAAGCACATGTTCAAAGAAAATACTGGGGAAAGAAAAGTCTTCCCCAGTCTCAGAAACTGTACTTCTCATGAGGTAAATGGCTTTAATACTTAAAAGTTACAGTTTTAAGCTTCATGAGTCCTCCTTTAATTCCAAACATAGCCAAAAGATTTAACAGTGCAACTTTAAGAAGCATGCTAGGTTATGGTTTGTTTCCTATCTTTTAGTTTAGAACTATCTTATACAACAAATACAATATAGAACTTTTTCCTGTTCCAGATTTGTTTGTTGTATTTTATATTTGGTTTTTGGAGACAGAGTCTCACTATGTATTTCAGATAGCCTTGAATTCACTATACAGCCCAGGCTGGCCTTGAACTCACCTAGATCCTCCTGCTTCATTTTCCCAAGTACTGGGATTACAGTCATCTGCCATCACACAGCATTTTTTTTTTTAAACTATGCATCTTAATACTCAAAGAGAAAAATTAGCTTTGCATTTGAAAATACCATGTCATGTTTGCTTGTTTGTCTGAGACAGAGTTTCACTATGTAGCTCAAATGGCCTTGAACTGGCCTCAAATTAATGGTGGTCCTCCTGCTCAGCCTCCCACCTGCTGGAAGTACAGATCTGTGTCACCACACCTGGCTCATGTTATCTCTGTATGATGTAAAAACACTGAAATCATATACTCACCACTCAGAGGAGTTATAAATGTGATTTATATGCACTCTAGCTCGAGGCCTTTAATATTAAATACTTTTATTTTTAGGTGGCCTTTCCTATTTCCTAGTAGTAGGAAATAAACCAGGGCCTTCATACTGAACTACACCCAGTGCTTTTTTTTTTTTTTTTTTTTCGTACTTAGGGCAGGGTTTACAGGGTGTACAGGGTCTCACTGCATAGATCCAGACTAGTAGTGATCCTCCTGTTTACAGCCTCCCAAGCGCTAGGATTACAGGCATGCGCCACCACGCCCAGTCTCAAATGCCATCTCAGCGTGCGCCCCACACCAGGCTGGGAATTGAACTCCAGGTCCCTGCGTCTGCCTAAACAGGTGCTTTAATCTGCTAAGCTATTTGGCTGACCCTATGCCCAGTCCTTTTTTATAAGTATTTATTTTTGAAACAGGGTCTTGCTAAATGGTAAACTGCCCAGGTTGAGCTAAAACTCATGATTATCCACAGAGCTGGGATTATAACGGTAAGCTAACATGCCCAGCATATTTTTTGAAAATTGTGAAAAAGCGTATTTACTAACAACCAACTATAGAATAATAAGGAGTTTGTAGAAATGCATAAGTCAAGAAAGCCGGTCACACACACACAAAAAACCCACTACATTGCCAGCCCTTAGAGAAGAAACTGAAAATGCACGTTTAGCAATCTGAATGACAAAGGTTTTCCATGCAGCAGTTTGCTGTATTAATAAATTTCTGGAAGCTAGTAACTACTACTTTGAGTACTTCTTGCAAGTATATAAGCTAAAGGTGACTTTTACTAATCTCATGTTTCAATAAATTTAGTATTAAAATATTCAGGCAAGTATTTCTTTTCCTAGAGTACATATACACTGGGGGGACTCTTTTATGTACACGATTTGTATTCATTATCAGAGATATTAGAAAGCATGCTCTAAGTTTCTTGTTTCACCCGTGTGTAATGAGGTCAGCTAAAATCCAACAAGTTAGGAAAGGAAGACTATGTATCATATGCCACCTTCTATCATGACATTTGCCTTACAGTTTTTCTATTTATATTCCTAATGACATATTTATTTCAATAAACATTGGGTACTTGTTCAAGGTCATAAGGAAAAGGCCTTAAAATTATTCCTGTATTAAAGAATGATTACAATTTTTCATGTGCTACAAATGTTTTCAAAATAATATTGCAAAATAAGTCTTCACTCAATTTTGTAAGTGAAGAAATTAGGATACAAAAATTGTCCTCAGTAGGAAAACCTAATACATGTGGGAGCCATAATCTGAACTTATATGAGCCAATCTTGTCAGAAGAAACATTTTATCTTTTTTAAAAACAATATACACAAGGACATATTGAATACATAAATTAATCTATGTTCTTGTAAAACAATATATGCTTTTATTCCCTCCTCCACTTTTTCTTTTTTTAAATTTAAGGAAGCTAGGGGTTTTATCTACATAAACATTTTGATAGGGAGCTATCAACAAAACGTAGAACATTTTACCTAACATTCCTAGTTTAGTTTCATAGAAGCAGAGTGCCCTGGTCTCAAAGCTTTGTGGAAAGGCAGTTATCTAGGTGACGGTCAGATATCTTACTCTCATTCCTGGAGGCTAGCGGGCAACATGATTAATAAGGAGACTGGAGATAAGAGGGAGGAAAACGTCACACACAAACCTTGCTTCTGGCCGCGAGCTGCGGTGACAGGCGTGCTGGCAGCAAGATGAGCGCTCTCCACAGTCCCATAAACCACAGGGCTGCGCTCAGGGACCTGGCCGGGCAGCTGCTGGGATTTGAAGTACAAAAAAGGGTGATAATGAGCGTGCGAACAAAAAAAGTAGCCACATGGAACCCAAGCAAGTGAGTAAGACAGAGGAGGGCAGAAGGTCACAAAATGAAAAGGAAAGCAAGGAAAAAATAAATAGGCCAATTTAATCAATTCAAACAGTACATGAGGAGACAGGGAAAAGAAGGAGAGAGGCAACAGAAAAGGGGAAGGAAAAAAGATGATTACTATTAACCACAGCAAAGGACAGCAAAATTAGTAGTACATTTCATTCTCCAGTGTTCCTTCTAAGGACAAGCTGACTTTTCAACCTAACAATAAATATAACAGCTAAGAGGGAATTTCACATTTTCCCAAAGACCAAACAGATTTGGTCAACTTCACATCTAAACTACTGAGCAAAGGAGTTCATCTGCCAAAAGTAGAATAAACAAGATATGAAGGATTTAAAAAGTTACAAAAGAACATGGAGGGTTGTAATTCTGTTAAATGTCCTTGTTGTGATCATATAGAACTGTCACCCCAACATGTCTTTAGGTTCTCTGTCAAGAAATCAAATCAGAAATCCAAATGAAGTATCTGTCTTCTCAGAACTAAAGAAACTCATTTTCACTTGGCCACTGTATTGAGTGAAAAATACTCATCAAACTCCAATCGAGTAGGTTGACAAAACGGTAGTCACTGTTCAACTTAGAGGGAACATTTTACATGGGAAAGGACAAGAACACACATTCTACATCACATTCCAGGCAGGTATTTGTTTTGGATTCGAGTATTACACAAAAAGCTACACAACAAAGCAGTGTCTCTTAGGACATCTAAGGCCAATGTTTTGGTAGCTTAAACTTCTATACTGAATTCTACCCATATTATCAGAGCAGGGTTCTCTGTACAATTCTGTGAGATTGTTTAGGGGTGGGGAGATTAAGATGTGAATCAGGGTGGATAGTGTTACTTAGGTGAGTAAAAAATATTTTTAAGTCCATAGTCTCAACTGTTAAGGAGGAAATATAAATGAAATGGACCTATCATTTATAACCAAACACTTTTAATTAACAATGCTTTTCAGAGTACATTCAATTCATATTTGACTATATATGGACTATAAAGAATGATAGCAAAGGGGGCAAATGCTAACATTTCATTTATTTATTAGGCCAAGAAAAGTGCTCAAACACCAAAATTAGATCTAAATAAAGAATACTATGATTACATTTCCATATAAAAAATGAAGAGAATTACTGTTTTATTTTCTTTATACAAATATAAAGTTACTACTGTGGTAATTATTCTGAATGCTCAGTAGGGAAAAGTTATGGTATAAATTTTAAAATAAGGATGGCTTCCTAACTAAAATGAAAAGACAAGGTTGTTCAATTCTACTGGTTAAAAAAAGATCTGGAAAAAAACAAACTCTAAATTCTCAGCATTAATTAAACAGTTATCTACATTTCCCATTAAAGAAAGGTTTGTATTCTGTGTCATTTACCTGAAAAGAAAAAAATTATTAATTATTTCAATTGTCTGGGAAATATCCAAAATACAGGTGAACAAAATGATGTCCTTGTTTAACATTGTGTTCAAGACAGTAAGAGATACTGATACCTGTAAACTGTACAGATCTGAAGATTTTTAAAAGTACACATTTTAAAATTAACAAAATCCTAAAAATTGATGGATAGTCATAAAGAAGGAAAGAAATGACATAATGATTAAGGAAGTAAATCCAAATATGTGGTACAAAGATACATATCCACACAATTCTAGTAAGTACAGTACTACTCAGTTTGATCAGCTATAAAATAAGACTAAATCCGGTAGTTCTTTCAACTTTAACATTCTAAAGGCCTCTGAAAATAACAGAAATGATGACATACACTATAAGCATATAATTAAATACTTCAGTATAAACATATAATTAAAAACTTGAATCTTGTTCTGGATTTTAATTTAGCATAATTTCAAAGTTTGGTTAACTCTTTAATTTCATTTATTCTCTTCTCATGAAGAAACCCAACTATAAACAGTTCATTAAAGGAGTTTATTTTTCCAAAGCATAAATAATTATGAGCTACTTCAATTTAAAAGTAATAACCATTAGACAGGTGCTAGGGACATATGCCTATAATCCCACCACTTGGGAGACTGAGGCAGGAGACCTCCATATCTTTGAGGTCAGTCTGGGTTATAAAAGCAAGTTGAAGGCTAGCCTATATTATGAGAACCAGTCTCAAAAATAACCTTAAAATAAACAGTCATAAAAATCAGGTAATATATTATTGTGACTCAAAACACTATTCTTCACATTGTATGGATTTTTACCTGTACAAAGAAGTTAAGCTACATTGTTGAAAACACACTAAGTAATTCCAAAACCACTACACTTCAGTCACATTATAGAAGTGAAAATATGTAAAAAGCATTCTGAAAGAGCAATAATTATCAAATATAAAATCATTCAATAAAGATACCAAGGGAGTCAGAATTAAAAGGCCTGAATTAGTAAGCAATTTTCCCCATATTGTTACAATACTTCATAATTTATGTCAGTATTAAATTCTAACTCCCAAAGTATTTTGAAACTAAAGATCTTATTACCAGGAGAAAAAGTTTATCATTTTTCAAATAGAGTAAGTAATAAAGTTTAAAGGATGAAAATATAATAATTCACAATTGTATCCAAGAATTGAATTTTTTTTTTCCCGGAACCAGGGATTGAACTCAGGCCCCTGTGCTTGCCAGGGAAGCATTTACTCTACTGAGTCATCTCCCAGCCCCTTGAAATCTTTTTATAAATGTTACTTGTCAATCATATTTAATAAAGATTTATATATCAAAGTACTGGGTTCAAAGGAAAAAATATAAAAGCTTGGGCTCCATACGGAAATAATTTATGCCTTTTTTGTTGTTAAAGGTTTTCACTATGCAGTTCAGACTGGTCTTGAACTCACTCTATAGCCTAGTCTGGCCTCCTGAGGACCACAGGTATGCACTAACCATACTCCACTTATTCCTTTATTTTTATTTTTAAAGAATGTTTACTGATTAGGTAAAAAGGCAACAAAATTAGGACTGTCCTTAAATATTTTTCATAATATAAAATTAATTCTTCTTTACATAACAGCTCACACTGTTTATGCCAAGAAAAGGTTCACTGTGCTTTTTATTTTTTCTTGTTAAGATATACACATAAGACATTAAAATACACAGGTAAAGGAGTCAACCACCATGGAAAAGAAGCTACATGCTTGTTGCTGTATTGCCCCTAAAACACTTGTATATCTTTAAATCACCAGGGGAATAAATCAAGAGAAAAACTGTATTTATGGACACATAAAAATTATATAAAATTCAAGCCCAGTGTGCTGGCACATGCCTGTAACTCCAGCATGAAGTTTGAAGACAACCTTTGTTGCAGTTAGTTAAAGGCCAAAAACATATGGTATTTATATATTTCAAATTTCAGTGCCAATATTGGAACAGAGAAGCTTGCTCATCTATGTATTATACATGACTGCTTTTGTGGTATACATCTGAGAGGTGGTCAAAGAGACAACATGGTAAAAAGATTTACTATTTATGTCATTACAGAAGATGTTTGCTGACCCTTATTAAAAATCACTAAAAGAAAGCCAAAGACTTCTAACAATTATATAAATACAAGCAAGCAGTTAGTATAATTTATTGAGAGGCTTTTTACCTGATTTATGAAAGACATTTTAAAACTTACTTTTATCAGTACTACATTTCTACCATACATAATTACATTCACTGTGGGGAGTTGCTACTATAACTCTTTCCCCTACCTCCATATCTTGGTCTTTTTTTTTTTTTTTTTTTTTTTTTTGGTAGTTTTAGGGAAGGGTTTACAGGTTGTTCAGGGTTTCACTACTACATTGGATGCATAGTGATCTGGCTGTTTACGGCCTCCCAAGAGCTGGGATTACAGGAGCTTGCCACCACACCCAATCTCAATTGCCATCTCAGCATGACCCGCCCCCCCCCCGGGGGGGGGCGGGGCAGGGCAGGCACAGCAGGCCTGAGATGGAACCCTAGGCCCATGTGCCTGCTTGCAGGAGCTTTAATCTGCTGAGCTATTTGACCTGACTGGCCCGTGGTCTCCTTTCCATTTGCAAAACATCTAACTCCCTGTTTCTTATTATCTACCTTTTATTTTGTGCTTAAAATTATTTATATGTTGGGCTTCTCATATAAGAAATCATACAGTGCTTAGTCTGCCAGCCCAAAATATAGTTCCATGGACTTTGTAATCAAAGAAAATATATTAAGGAATAAGCCACAAATTAATCATTTAATTACAGTAGTGTTAAGTAATATACCAGAATGTAAAAGAATAGGGATAGTATATCATCTAGCACCTGACATGAAAAGGAAAGTTTTGAAGAAGCAACATCTAGGTTAGCTTTAAAACTGATGTGGATGCAGGCTTGTGAGAAGCATGTGAGGAAGTGTAGAAAGATGGATTTCAGGCATAAAGCACAGAATATATAAAGGTTCTCAAGGGAAGACAGGGCCTTATAGGCACCACCAAGGGTTCTGGTCTTTATCTTCACAGTAAAAAAAAACAAAAAAACACAGGGATAGATTATGACTGGCAATATAGCACAATCAAATTTATGCTTTAAAACATGAATTCTAGCCAGATGTGGTGGCATATGCCTGAAATCCCAGCTTTCTGGGGAGGCTGAGGTATGAGGAACACAAACGAGTCCAACCTGGACTACTTTGAAAGATCCAGTGCGCTGGGGATATACTTCAGTGTGAAGATTCCCAGTACTGAAAAAAAAAACAAACACCACAACTAATTCTGACCACTCATACAGGATGAATTGGGGGAAAGAAATGGCAGTTATAAGGACAAAACATACAGGGTTTCTGCAGAAGAAAAAAAGGAAGTAATTTTAGCAAGTAGTATGGCTAAATTTTCTATAAATACAGGAGGCAAACTGAGAGGATTCGTTAATTAATTAGTAGGGAAG